CTCTGCTCATGTTCTTGCAAAGACCCCTGCAGTTCTTCTACCTTCAACTCATCCAACTTCTTTGATTCTTCAATAGCTACAACAATGTGATCAAATCTTGGATGAAGAGTTCTAAGCACTTTCTCCACTATTGACTTGTTCTTGATGTTCTTGTTCTTGATCGAGATTTATTCACGATCGGATTATATTTGTTTGATACATTGTTGTCAATATGAGTGTTGAAAAACCCCTACAATCGAGAAAACAAACGGATTAAAATAAAAAAAAAGTGAAATCTTAATCTTAACCGAATCTTAATATTATTAATATTTATATTATTAAATAGATTATTAAATTTTATTATTATTATAAATTTAAAAATTATAGAAAAAAATTTCTTAATAGTCCCTCCTGTTGGGTGAAATTCACATCGCAAAACGAAATAGTCGCTCTCCCTTAAGACTCGGAAGAACCCTTTTCGTAAAATATCGTTTGCTTAATAAATAAGTTTCTACTCGAACACGAAAGGACGAAAAAAGCAATGCAATATAATATAATATACAAGACGGGTAACAAAAAAGTTAAGATATTTGGCTCGATCTATGATCCGAAGGGATAGAAAAGAATACATCAATCGTAACGATCCCTAGGATTCATTATGGATACAACCCAAGAATAAGAATAGAAACATTCAAGTTGTTTTGTCTTATATATTTTTTAAGATCTGGTATGTCTAGATAACTACTATTTGTTTTTAGTTATTAATAATTAAAAAAGAAAATATATATATTCTATTCGGCTCAATCCTTTTCGTAAAGGATTGGGCCGAGTCCGAGTTTAATTGCAATGGAATTGCAATTAAATAGAACGAACGAGAATTACTGGATTACAAAGTATCCATTGCTTGGAATTCAAATTTGATCTCCTTCCATACTTCACAAGCAGCAGCTAATTCAGGACTCCATTTGGAAGCCTCACGGATAATTTGATTACCCTCAGAAGCAAGATCACGTCCCTCATTTCGAGCTTGTACACATGCTTCCAGAGCTACTCGATTAGCTACGGCACCTGGTGCATTGCCCCAAGGGTGCCCTAAAGTTCCTCCGCCGAATTGAAGTACGGAATCATCTCCAAAGATCTCGGTCAGAGCAGGCATATGCCAAACGTGAATACCCCCCGAAGCAACGGGCAGAACACCAGGTAGAGAAACCCAATCCTGAGTGAAATAAATACCGCGGCTTCGATCTTTTTCAACAAAATCATCACGCAATAAATCAACAAAACCTAAAGTGATCTCTCTTTCTCCTTCAAGTTTACCTACTACGGTACCAGAGTGAATATGATCTCCACCAGACAAACGTAAGGCTTTAGCTAGTACACGAAAGTGCATACCATGATTCTTCTGTCTATCGATAACTGCATGCATTGCACGATGGATATGAAGAAGTAGACCATTATCCCGGCAATAATGAGCTAAACTTGTATTTGCAGTGAATCCCCCTGTTAAATAGTCATGCATTACGATAGGAACACCCAATTCTCTAGCAAATACAGCTCTTTTTATCATTTCTTCACATGTACCCGCAGTAGCATTCAAGTAATGTCCTTTGATTTCACCCGTTTCGGCCTGTGCTTTATAAAGTGCTTCGGCACAAAATAAGAAACGGTCTCTCCAACGCATAAATGGTTGGGAATTCACATTTTCATCATCTTTGGTAAAATCAAGTCCACCGCGTAGACATTCATAAACTGCTCTACCGTAATTCTTAGCGGATAACCCCAATTTAGGTTTAATAGTACATCCCAATAGGGGACGGCCATACTTGTTCAATTTATCTCTCTCAACTTGGATGCCGTGAGGCGGACCTTGGAAAGTTTTAACATAAGCATTAGGGATTCGCAAATCTTCCAGACGTAAAGCGCGCAGGGCCTTGAAACCAAATACATTACCTACAATGGAAGTAAACATGTTAGTAACAGAACCTTCTTCAAAAAGGTCTAAAGGATAAGCTACATAAGCAATAAATTGATTTTCTTCTCCAGCAACGGGCTCGATGTGATAGCATCGTCCTTTGTAGCGATCAAGACTGGTAAGCCCGTCGGTCCACACAGTCGTCCAGGTACCAGTAGAAGATTCGGCAGCTACCGCGGCACCTGCTTCTTCAGGCGGAACTCCAGGTTGAGGAGTTACTCGGAATGCTGCTAAGATATCAGTATCTTTGGTTTCATAGTCAGGAGTATAATAAGTCAATTTATAATCTTTAACACCGGCTTTGAACCCAACACTTGCTTTAGTCTAGTCTCTGTTTGTGGTGACATAAATCCCTCCCTACAACTCATGAATTAAGAATTCTCACAACAACAAGGTCTACTCGACTGAGGGGTTAATGAAACCTTTCACTTCACAGGAATCTTTCACAAAATGATCAACTAATATTATCAATTAATCCGAATGGTTCGTTAGTAAACCGTGGTATTTGATTTGCCAAATACATCATTATTGTATACTCTTTCATATGTA